AATGAAGACCTGTAACTTGAAAGGGAAAATTGTAAATTACGAGCCATAGGAAAAGCAAAAGTTGACTTTGTTGAGAAGACCATAGGAGGCCGTTTTTCACCATCCCAAAAAAAGGCAATCCACAAAATCATGTGACAAAAATAACAAGAACCTTTCCCGACACCAAAAAAGTCACCAAAGTACTGGGAAAGGACCACTTCAAGCTCAGCTGAACTTTAGCAAAGTTTAAAAGAAGAAAGCTGGATTGACCAGACCTATATGAGCCGGCGCTGGACGATTTTCATGGACCGTGCCACCAGCTAAACGGATCAACTTCGTCAACACCGCACGACTTGGTTCCACTGACGGCGTAATGTAGAATTGTACATCCTATAAATATATTTCTTTTGAGAGCTGCTAAAAATTTATTCATTTAATAAGCAGAACAACCAAAGGTGTGCACAACTGTCAGCCTAAACAGCAGTACAATAGTACATACGCAAAGAAAAAATGAAAACGCTCAAAAATGAAATAGCAATGATCATGACGTGTATACGCACTGAGGAGGCCAGAGTAAACGCTAGTAGAGAGCATTAACAAAGAGTTCAACTATGAGGCCAAGCGGGCCCTATCGAGAAACGCGAAAAAGGGCTTCTAGAGGTAGCATGAAGAAGGACCCAAAATCTAGGCCACGGAGGAAGTGGCTCCAATATAAGGAAACAACCACATCCATTAGATTTAGTATTATAGCAGTGCCATGCGCAAGACTAACGGCAGGGAAAAGAAAAGGGACGAAACTTGGAAGTGCCTTTAAAAGCGTTCTCAGATGTAAAAAAGGAGCAAAACCATATCAAACAACGCAAAACCATTTACCTCAAACACCTTTTTGTGACGTGCTCTGACCACGCTACGCTTACAGTTGTAACCCAAATGCCGCTCCTGGTCTTCATCGTGAAGGAAAGTAATCGAGCGTATCTGAATGGGTAATTGCATTTTAAGGTATACTTGAAAACTGTTTAGAAAAGTGAATTCCATAATGGGCCAGAAACTGCAGCAAACAAGGCGCATCAGAGCAGTAGCGAACGCTTTGAAATCCGGCTTTCTAACCAGGTGAAGCTCTTCGAGTTAGATATATCTCACACCAGTAACGTAAAAGTTTAGAACAAGCAAACATCGCTAGAGAAAGTTTTATGGCACCTTGACTTCCAAAGCTGTCTGTCTGGAACGGCCTTGATTTCTCGGAAAAGAATTTTCAATTGTTGTTTCACTAATACAGCCGGATTCCGCTTGTCCATATCGTATTTGATAGAATAAAGCGCCAAATGGTGAGAATCTAAATAAACCCACCATCCACTGTTCCGCATCGTTTATCCATGCACTATCCAGTAGGGATTCACGATGTTCTTCCCCAAACAAATCGCCTCCAATAGCCGCTCCGTGCGCCGACCATTCGTTGTCACCAGGTGTGTAACATTCAGACACCTCCTCACACAGCTCGTCCACCCAAATATCGCAGTTTCTAAATGGCTTGTTACTGTCAAAGGCTTGTTTCGAGTGTTTGGGCAACATTAGCCTTTACTTGATGTATTTTTTTTTTTGAAAAAAAAACGGCTCATTAATATAAAATTGATTCCTGGGAATAGAGCTATAGTAGATCATTTCGTGCAAACGAAATCAAAAAAAACATCATTTCCAGAGACAATTTCTAGGCCACAATCAACCACTTACTAACACATATTTCTCCTAAGATCATTATATTTATGTTTAATATTTAATATTTCTTTGCTATATGATTCTTTATTTAATATATACAACGACGTACAGTACTTCATGCAAAAGACTGGAATCGTTCTTCGGCAAGGTCCAATGTCAATCCGCTATTTAATCTAGTATTGAGCGCAACAGTGCATCTAAATGCTCGTACCTAAGTTACTTATGTTCGCTTGAATCACAGAGAAGCCTTTTCACCCATCGAAACGCGCTATTTGTCTCAGAATATCAAAGTGCTCACGGGGACAAAATCCAACATATGGACATCTTGCAACCATCCCAAAAATGATGCAGTGAATGAATTGTAAATAGTCAAAAGCTCAATTACTACCAAAGGTAACAATGATTTAGAAAGCTCAAAAAGTTCACATATTGAAAAATTCTATTCAATGTTCGAAAAACTCAAAGAATTACCTGAGTAAGAACATGTTTATTTTCATCGTCGATCCCACTAAACGCAACCACGTACGACGGATGCGTGCTCCCCAACTTTTTGTGCTCCTGTGCTTTCGGCTGCAATTCGCTCGCCGGTGGTGCTGATTGCATCTAGAATAAAACCATTTCTAACTATAAAAAGCTTCCGTTGCCAATTCCATCGCAATTGTCAATTAGCGCGCACCATCTGCTCATGAAAAAAAATCTCAGAAACGATTGGATATGCACCGTGCAACTACAAAAATGAATGGAAAAGTCAGATAAGCGATAGAGGACAAACAGGACTGCAAGTGAATATTTCCAAAAAAAAAAGAAACTAAAAAGGACAAAGAAACCAAACCGTACTTCTATTCGGGAAAACACACTCGATTCGTTTCGACCCGCCTGCTTCGTGTCAAAAGAACGTCGCCACGCCAGACGCCACTGCTCAGGGGACACGATCAGTGGCATTTTCCAAGCAACTGAACAAAAATGGACACACTCAAAAATGAAACTTCAGGAAACAAAAAAAGAAATTCCAAAAATCGAGAAAAATCTCTCGTGTGAAGGAAAAAGACTGAAGAGAGAAGCACTCACGCAGAAGTTGCTTGAACTGATCGTTGATCATTTCCAAGGCATATGGACCCGGCGATACGCCTTCACACGGTTGACCAAGCTAAGACAGAAAAGGTAAGCTAATGAACTTGACAAAACTTTTTCTGTTAGGTAACTGAAGATTCCACTTACCTGATATCGCTGATTGTCAGCGTCAACTCTCTGACCCGCGTAGTTGTCAGCCAACCATTGATAATTCACCACTTGGATATCCCATTCACGTGCCTTCTCGACTTTTTCAACGCCAGCGCTAAAATTATGGGTGTGAAAAAACGATAGAAATCAATGTAATAGCAATGATCATTGTATCAGAAAGACCAATAAAGATGTATTAACAAGAATCAATAATCGGAAAACATTAAAGAACCAACGTCTTAGCAATCAGAATATTATTGTGACGGCTAAGGTACGGGGTGAATCTCGCTCCCATGGCCTCCACCATGAACTTCATCGCGGCCCGTTCACTTTCGTCGAAGCCAGAAAACGAAATCAACTGAAAAGCATCGTCTTAGAGTCGATTTTCAACTTTGAATTCAAATCCTGAAGGAACTGTAGAATAGCGGCTCTAGAACTAGAAAACGCACGCAATTGTAAATTTGAACCCATTTTGAACCAACGGACCTTCCCTAGTAGCGGTCTGCAACCATCTACAAACACCGACGGTAAATGTGCATGCCGCCACGGCACATCCATTTGTTTCTTCATGAGCACATCCACCAACCACTGCATTGTCACCAGACGTTTGCGATCTTTCAGGGCCTAAAATAAGTTGGCCTATTGGGAAGGTAGCTAGTGAAATGACAAT